ACAGTCCTCATTAGGAAACTGTAACTCAAAGGGTTCTACATATACAACTCACACTTCCCTCAGTAATGATCAGTGATAAACTACAGTAAAAGCTTGAACAACCAGCAGATGGGGCAATAAAGAAGGAGTTATTTTATTTATTTTGAGGGGCCATGAAAATATTTATTTATATCGGAATAAACAAACTCCTGTGGTTATTGTGCCTTCCTTCAGCCTCTCGCCCCTTACAAGTCCATCTGTCTCTCCTCTCTGACAAGGGTCATCACAACCTTCATGAAGACAGCCAGCTATGAGTCTTGCCGAAAGGGGTTATTTTAATCTGTGTAGCCAAGTGTTAACTGAGGAGGGATAAAAGTGATCTCATTCTTAAGCTTTCTTTTCTTTCTCTCCTAAGAAATATAAAATTTACAAATACGTAAATCACTTCTGTTCATGAAAGTCTGGCAAGACTTGGTTCTTTTATCCCCGACACTACCATACCACCAACCAGCAATAAACTTCTCTCCATAAACTTCCAGAGGATACTAGATCTGCTACTATGTGATTAATAAGTGTTCACTGAACAGTGGACACAGAAAGTTGTTATACTTAGTTTAGGGTAACTGCTTCATTTAGTATAATTTCTAGTAAGTTTGAAGGAGGGGGCATTTTGATGACTATGAGGGAGGATCCAAAAAGCCAGAATTTATTTATAACAAAAGTATATATTTATTTATATCCTCCATTTGATGTAACATGCCTATCAAGACACTTTTTTCACTGCTCAAAACAGTTTTTGAACTTTTCAATTCTGATGTCTTCTAGTGATTGTCACTTTTTGTTTCACCTCTTCCATACTCGTAAAACATTTCCCTTTGAGAACTTTTTTCATCGAGGAAACAAAAAAACAGTCGCTCAGGGTGAGAGTAGGTGAAAAGAGAGGGTGGCAGATGGGGGTCTTGCTGTTTTTAGTCAAAAAGTGCTGACCACTCAGACCGGTGTGGGCAGATGTGTTGTCATGGTGAAATAAACAGTCACCTCTTTGCCACAAATTGGGACATTTCTTCCACAAATCATTGTGTAACTTTCTTAAAACTTCCAGATAAAAACTTTGGTTGACTATTTGATACAGAGGAACAAATTCTGAGTGTACTAACAAGGGGATCGCCCTCCAAAAGATAATTCTGGTTTTTTGAGTCCACCCTTATAGACATAAGATTTTTTTATTGAGGAAAAGGGATAGCAGAAAATTTGGGTCTGACAAAGCTCTAGTTGGTAATGAACAACTGCTATTTCTATAGAATCACTTGGGTCACCCCATTCTCATTCTACAGTTTTATAGTTGAAGAAATTGAGGCCTGCAAAGCCTAAGAAATTGGCCCAAGTTTAGAAAGCTCAAGTTAGGACTCTGGTCTTAAAGTATGACTGGGTCAGTGATCTTATTTATGACCAGAAAACGATGCTTGCATGAACTATAGCTTCTAAAGAGCACAAGAAGTTTTGGATAAGGAAAATGTGAAGAAAATGCTATTTAAAAATGGACATGTAGATCAGTTCAAATACTGAGATGGGCACATCTTAGAACAGCATTTCAGTACTGCTAGCTGATTATCTCATCAGTGGAAGATGAATGCTCATAACGTTTATGTTAATAATGTGAGTTTAAGAGTTTCTCACCTTTCTGGAGGCTTTTCCTTTATGAACTCCATGTCTGTCATCCACCTTATTTAATCATTTTAAGTCTACTTTTTAAATAACCATGTTTGGCACATATACTTTATCACAGTATTAATTCTAGTCTACTAACACATAATGAATGTAGTAGAATTTGGTAAAGCACTGCAATGCCAAATCAGTATATTTCATTAGTTAAAAGAAGCCACTAGAGATTCTTTCAGCTAAGATAAAATTTACAATTATTCCTAGGAAATTATTCACTTCAGATGATTCTAATCTTTTCCCCCATATTCTTTCTCACTCAGAGAATCAAATATACAAAGAACTCAACTACACAAAATTCACAGGAAGTTTACCATCAAAATCTTCCTTAATAAAAGTAGCATAAGAAATCCTTCATGTCCAAAATATAAAAGAGACTGAGGAGGGGAATCAGTTGAAAACAGAGCTATGAGCAAACAACAATCAATCATACTAGCTGCATTATATATATCGAAAATTTTAAGGGAAGACTGAAATTACTCAAGTAGAAATCTAGCCTCTCTAAAATTAAATATGTAATATGAGACAGTTAATCTTTTCACAAACAATTACTGACTTATACATTCAATTTTTATTTTACTTGAAACATTCTGATAAGCAACAGAAAGCGTTACAGAATAGTCAAAGGATACATTGAGGACACATAACAGATCATGGAAATGAAGGCTCTGATAGTACAGTTAAAGTTTGGAAGTTATAGGAGTTCAGAAATACAGAATCACAGAAGACAACAGACATTAAAAGCTGTTGTAAATCTTCCAGAGTAAAGTACAAAATTGTATAGAAAAATAATTAATTTTAAAGTATAGTTTTTCTTCCTTAAAGATTTCTTATGCAAATAACAAAAATGATAAAGTAAATCAGTTTGTCAGAATGAAAAGAATTTAAGACTTAGAAGGGACTGTAGTTATCATCCCATCTCCTCCACTCTATACTACAGATGAGGAAACTAAGGTCCGCCACTGAGTAGCTTAGCCTGGATAATAAATACTTAATTTTATATACTTCTAGATTATGCATTTAAATCAATCTCCATTTTATTAGATATACTGTCATCTGTCTAGATAGTAACCAAAAGCGATCACATTATTAGGATGTAAGCTCTGAACTCGGCTGTTACTTTGGAGTTTTTTTGCAAAAAGAACACACAAAAGGTAAAAGACAATGCTATTTCTTTAAAATGTGAATTCTTCAATTTAGTTTTAGACTATCTATTCTTATACAGTTATTCTACGCAGTAGGTAAGTTGTAATCACAGACTGAAAAAAATGTGCTGGCTGAGCACGGTGGCTCACACCTGTAATCCTAGCACTTTGGGAGGCTGAGGTAAGATTGCTTGTGCCCAGGAGTTCCAGCCCACTCAGGGCAACATAGCAGGACTCTGTCCCTACAAAATTAAAAAAATTAGCTGGGTGTGATGGCATGCACCTACAGTCCCAGCGACTTGGGAGGCTGAGGTGGAAGGATCGCCTGAGTCCTGAAGGTGGAGTCTGTAGTGAGCTGTTATCATGCCACTGCCCTCCAGCCTAGGTGATAGAGTGAGGCCTCAACTCAAAACAAAAACAAAAACAAAAAAACCAGTGCTAACACATTTTAAAGAAATTAGAAGTTTTTATAGCCCTTAAGGATCTGTGCCACTTTTATTTTTAAATAATTTAAACATACAAACAAAATACTCTTACAGTATATTCCTAATTCTTAAAGCTGTCTTTAGTGAGGAATATATAATATTAATTATTTGACATCACCTTTTATAATTTGGGAGAAAAATACACCAAGATACCAGTTTAAAAGGAGACAATATTTACCAGCACCTCCTGCTATCTTTGACCCCTTAACACAACTGGCATCAATTGTGTTTTTACAACACATAAAATAACCATGATGTAAAATCAAATTAATAAAGCTTAACAAGTGCTTATAGCATGCAAGAAGTTTGAATCATTTGGCTGGCCATAATCAGGTCAAATTAAAAGTTTATTATTTCAATTCCAAATAATGTGGTAATACATTATTCCAGAATTTTTTGGAACCTGGTGGCCCATTTTCTAAAACTTGTTTTGACTGCACTGGCATTTTACAACTTTGCTTTTTTCCCTTTCCCTCTGTGTTAGCAATTGACTCACTTTGATATGTTCTATGTTTGCCATACTTCACAGATCCTTTTATTTTGTTCACTTTTTTAAACTCCTCTCCTTCACCCTGCCTTTCCTGCCTTTCATTCTCTTCTTCACCTGTCTCCTGGTATTTCCCCTCTTCTCCCTCATTGTCCACCTCTTCTCTCTTCTTCCTGTTTTCTACTCCTTCCCTTTCCTTCCTTTTCCTTTTCCCCCTTTCTTCCTTTTCTTCCTCTTCTCCCTCTCCTTCCACCTCCTCTCCTTCCTCCTCTCCTTCCTCTCCTTCTCCCCCTTCCCTGTCACCTTCCTCCCCTTCCCCCTCCCCCT